CGTCCCAGCAGAGGGTAAAGCACTTGGCTCGTGGGGAGAAAGGCCAAGGGAAATGTGAGGGCTCGTGGCTCCCTGGGCGGGAAGGAGTCATGAGTCCATGTGGGTTTGAAGAGTCATTGCAGAGTCCCCATGGCTGGAAAGGGGGCAGACCCTGGTCCCTAAACACGTCTCCCCGTCTCAGCCTGGCCTTTGCTGCAGAGGCAGATCCCCCCCGGCCCCGATCAGCCTCACTGTGGCTGCAGGTCGACTTGTCTGCAGGGGTGGAGGATGTGCCAGATAACGTGGCTCCTCCTTAGGCAGCGGCTGGGGACTCAGCATCCTGGCCCAGCCCGACAGCCAGGCCTGGGGCTGAAGGTTAGGGGCAGCGGCCATACATTCAGTCCTGTGCCAGCTGCTCTCCTTCGCCCCCGGGCCCCGCAGGTGAGTGCTGGACAGCAGGGATGCTGCTCCGTAATGCCTGCTGCGGACATGCTCCTCTGATGTCCCTAGAAGGCCTGAGCCTCATCCTTGCTGCCCCAGCCCTGGAGTCTGGCTCCTGTGGTCATCCTAATTATCCTGATCCCAGTATGCCTGATGCCAGCCAACCACCCAGCTGAGGCTGTTCCCAGCCAGAAATTAATTAGTGTCTAAAACCTAAAACCTAATGAAAAAATGGTGCCCAGAATGGCACGGGGGCTGGCAAGGGAGGGAGGGCGGGACTGTGGATCTTAGTGAGTTGGTGAGCACCTGCCAGGTACCTCTGAAGGCAGAGTCCTGAGTGCCGAGCACCGAGAGGACCTCATGTGCCCCTTAGTGTATCATTCCCACATTCTCTCCTCCCTGCCATCCCCTCTCCCCACCCCCGACCATGATCCCTCTGTCTCAAAGTGTGTCTGGTGACGCTCTGTGAGTTCACTGTGTGGTGTCACGTGGCTGGCTGGCGTCCTGCATGTGAGGGTTTATATTAATTAGCACATTGTCTTTGTCAGCTTGGGCTGTCATAATAAAATACCACAGGCTGGGTGGCTTCAACAAGGGGCATCTATTTCTCAAGTTCTGGAGGCTAAAAGTCTGCTGTCAATGTGCTGCAGGGTCAGTTCCTGGTGACAGCCTGCTTCCTGCCTTGGGGGTGGAAGAAAGTGGGAGGGAACCTTCTCTGTTGTCTCTTCTAAGGATGCCAATCCCAAGTGATCAGAACCCAACACTTATAACCTCATTTAACCTTAATTACCTCTTAAAGGTCCTGTCTCTCTAAATGCACACATTAGAGCTTTAACAAAGGAATCTGGGGGGACGTAATTCAGTCCATAGCACACACCGGTTTTTTTTTAATTGAAGTATAGTTGGTTTACAATGTTGTGTTAATTTCTGGTGTACAGCGAAGTGATTCAGTTTTATATATATTTATTTCCATTATGGTTTATTACAAGATAGTGAGTATAGTTCACCATGCTATACATGCAGCAGGACCTTGTAGTGTACCTATTTTATAGAAAGTCATTTGTATCTGCTAATCCCAAACTTCCAATTTATCCCTCCCCACTTTGGGAGGTGATTGAGTTTAGGAGAGGTCCTGAAGGTGAGACCCCAGTGCCCTTTTCAAAGTGACCAGAGAGCTTGATCTCCCTCTCTCTGCCATGTGAGGACATCGGGAGAAGACAGCCATCTGCAAACCAGGAGGCAGGACCTCCCTGGAACCCAATTATGCTGGCACCCTGATCTCCTACTCCCCAGCCTCCAGAACCGTGAGAAATAAATACCACCCACTCTATGGAGTTTTCTTTTTCTCTTTCTTTTTTTTTTTCTTTTTGTGGTACGCGGGCCTCTCACTGTTGTGGCCTCTCCCGTTGCGGAGCACAGGCTCCGGACACACAGGCTCAGCGGCCATGGCTCACGGGCCCAGCCGCTCCGCGGCATGTGGGATCTTCCCGGACCGGGGCACGAACCCGCGTCCCCTGCATTGGCAGGCGGACTCTCAACCACTGCGCCACCAGGGAAGCCCCTATGGTGTTTTCTTATAGCAGTGTGAGCTGCCTAAGACACACCTACCTAGCCTACTCCCTTCTCAGCAGCAAACCCCCGAGAAGATGAATTTCATTAGAAGGAATATGACCTGTGGTTAAGAATGCAGGGTCCATATGAAACTGACCTGGGATCCCCTCCCTCCTCTACACTCACCAGCCCTGTGAACGAGGGCGGGTCACTTGACCTCTGTGACCTCTGTTTTCTCACTCCAAGTGAGGATGACACAGATAACACCCTTATCTCACAGAGTTGTTGCAGACAGTGAGACTAGGTAAGTCCGCTAGGACTCACCCTGACGTTGTCGCTGGATAAATGTGTACCTATTAACATGAGGCTAGTATCCCATGGACCCGGTGCCTCCTTCCTGTGACTCATGCAGGACGGCACTGCCAGTTCCTGACACTTCAGATGTCCCTTTTCTATGCTCCAGGGCTAGGTTAATGGTTTCTATTATATTTTTAACAGTGAAACTTTTCTTTTCCCCACAACGTGTCTTTTGGAGAGCTCCAATATCTGAAACTGATGGATGTGGAGTTGTGCTGGTTGAAATTGGTGTGGGGCTAGAGACCTCCCTTCAGCCTTCCCCTCTGCTTCTTGAAGGAACCCAGGGGCCCTCCAAGGAACACCGTTTGAGAATCGCTCCTCTGGGCTGCCCCACTTCCCTTCTATTCCCAAAGTCTTCCTTTCCTGGGACAGCACAGTGTAATTGTTCACATTTCTGCTTCCTAAGTAATAATCTCATTCTGGTCTTGCTTCCCTAAGGTGACCTGGGTAGGAATTTTAGGTGTCTCTGGGCTCTTCAGTCATACATTTACCGGTCCTTTGTCCATTCCCTCAGGCGGCTAATCCTATCAGGTGTGCATGGACTTTGCTACTTAACTCACAGAAGCCTACTTTATCGCCTAGTTCTTGGGATGTACCTCTGTGGCCCCATGTATGGCCAACCTGTGTAAATGAAATCTAATTTCTATTGTTCAGTAAGGCTATGCCTATAAATACATCCACAAGTCAGAAAAAAAGTGCTTTGTCATATTCTGTGTCCTGGTTTTGGTTTGGAAAATGGGTCACAGGAGATACGGGAACCTTATACAGAAAAGATGGCATAGAAACTGGGTCTCTGTCCATACCAGCCACAGAGATTCAAGGGCCACGTGTCAGTGAAATCTATTCGGTCTGATTCTCTGTGTTGCTCTTCTGCGGCTTCAAGCTCTGCAAGATAAGCTTGATCTTTATTTTTGTAGCAGCTTTATTGAGATATAATTCATATAACACACAATTCACCCGTTTAAGTATACAATTCAGCGTTTTTTAGTATATTCACAGAGTTGTACAGCTATCTCCATGATCAATTTTAGGACATTTTTGTCATCCCCCAACACACTATGTGCATTAGTGGTCACTCTCCATTTCTCCCCAGCTTCCTCACCACCACCACCGCCACTGGGCAACAGCTAATCTACTTTCTGTCTCTATTTGCCTATTCCGGACATTTCATATAAATGCTGTCTTTCAACACATGACCTTTTGTGTCTGGCTTCTTCAACTGAGCATAATGTTTTCAAGGTTCATCCATGTTGTGGCATACATCAGTACTTTATTCCGTTTTGTTTCTGAGTCATATTCCATTGTATAGATATACTACTTTTTTGTTCATCCACTCATCAGTAGATGGACATTTGGGTTTTCCCACTTTTTGGCTATTACGAATAATGCTGCTTGGAACATTTGTATACAAGTTTTTTTTTATTATTTAGACAGAGTAACTTTATTTTTAGGACATTTTATTTTTAGTTTTTTAATTTGAAGTATAGTTGATTTACAATATAGTGTTAGTTCCAAGCATACAGCATAGCGATTCTGTTATATATATATATATATATATATATATATATATTCTTTTTCAGATTCTTTTCCCTTATAGGTTATTACAAACTAATGAGTATAGTTCTCTGTGCTATACAGGAGCTCCTTGTTGGTTATCTATTTTATATATAGCAGTGTGTATATGTTAATCCCAACCTCCTAATTTATCCCTTCACCCACACTCCTGTGTACAAGTTTTTGTGCAGAGATTTTCAATTGTGTAACTTCCTCTACCAAGAGAATGAATGATACCAATGGCTAGATTTACTGAGTGTTTGCTGTGCACCAGATACTGCGCTGAGTGCTTCACACGCATTACCCATGTCATCTTCACTGGAACCCAAAGAAGAGGCTCTCTCCCCATTTTACAAGTGAGGAGACAGAGGCCCCATAGCGAAGACGGGGCGGGGCTGGGATTTGAACTCAGGTTAACACGCATCCTTAATACTGCTTCCAGAGGTTGGGCAGCTGTTGGTACCACACCACTCCAACCATTCACACTGATTGTCACACTGATTAAATTGTGATGATGTGCCACGTATATACATTGTCTTACTGAATTCTCACACCAGCCCCATGAGGTTGTCTTACTCTTCCCCATGTTCAGTGAGGACAGAAGTTCATAGAAACTATGTAGCTCACTAGGTGACATGTGTCATCGGTGGACAACAGGCATTCAGCAGGGCCCTGTAGCGGCTCCTGATACCACAGGTCTCCCTCTCAAACCTGGCCTTCTTCAACCCTAGATCACCTCAAGGAGAGTTTCTCATATGCCCAGAATACCATTTTCAAAGGACTGCTGCCATCTCCCTCCCTTTGCACACGTGTGCCCATGTGTGCAGGTAAACCTAGATTCAAGGGTATCGCGATGCCTGAGCCTGGGGACCTCTTCCAGGGAGGGCCCCTGGTGGCCTGCCGTGGCATTACAGTGTCCCTGAGGTGACTAGCCACACTAGAGTTCACCGCCACACCTGGCTACAGACCTAGACCCTTAGCATGCAGGGGACTTGCTTTGGGGACAGTTCTGAGGATGGCAGGGTGGAAGTGGAAGGCGGCATGGGGGGGAGACTGGAGTAGGAGGACGCGTAACGGTAGAGGGTACCAACTGTGTCCATGTGGTTGCCTGCCCACAGCTGCTATCCTGGATGACCCCATGGAGTGCAGCAGAGGGGAGCGGCTGTCCATCACCCTGGCCAAGAACCGCATCAACCGTGCTCCCGAGAGGCTGGGCAAGGCCAAGGTCGAAGTGGACATCTTTGAGCTTCTCAGAGACAGCGAGTACGAGACTGCAGAAACCAGTACGTAGCATGGGCAGGGCTGCCCTCTGCTTACCTTGCTGGCAGAGGAGGGGCTGGTGGTGTGAGCCGCACCCATTGCCGGGCCTGTGATGTAGATATTCCCAAGAGAGGAAGAGAAACATGTACCAGGAAGCCCTATAGGGCTTAGTCTAGACAAGATCCCAGGTTTTGTGGCAAATCATGTGTGGAGTAGAATTAAGACAGGGAATTCATTCATGCCTTCATTTACCCACTCATTCATTCCTTCATATATTGATTCATTCATCTCCTGGACATTCTGTACACAGATCCCTGAATGAAACCTTATATGGGATTAAGAAAGGAGAGATTCAGCCCCAGCCCCAGGGAAGCACAGTCATGGCACATCTGTTTCCTGTCTTGCTTTCTTTGGCTGAGGGCAGTGTTGTGGGAAGAAGCTGAGACTTGGGCTGGACATCAGCCACTCACTCTGTGGGTAACCTTGGACAAGTCAGTGATTCTGTTTAACCTCAGTTTCTTTATCTGTAAAATGGGAACACTAAGGTCTACTTTGCAAATCTTGCAAGTCATTGTGAGATTTAAATGACTTGCAATATAGGAAAATCCTCTGTGAGTTGTAGTGCTTTACATTCATACTCAGTTGGTCACTGCAGTCACACTTACGGAGCCCCTCCCATGTGCTGGGCACTGCTTTTAATTCTCCCAACAACCAGAGAGTTAAGTGTTACTATTCCCACTTTACCAAAGGAACTGAGGCTCAAAGACATTGGATAACTTGCCCAACCCCAGAGCTAGTCAATGGCTGAGCAAGTCCTGGACCCTGAACTTGCATCATGACCCTGCACGTCTAGTGTCCCATCCACTCCACCTCCCCTGCCACTTCTCTGGTGTGTGGCTGGTATGACGTTGATGACTTTACAGGATGAGCTTCCAGGTTAGCGGGGTGGTGGCTTGTAGGTAAGCTGGAAATGAACAACTCCAGTTCAGAGGGAAGGAGGGGGAGACCTTCAGCCCAGAGAGATGATGGCCTCCATTCCCTAAGGCTCTGGAGTCCCATCTCCTCCCTTTCTAGCCCATTTCAACCTTTAATGACACTCAATGGCAAAACCAAACCAAACTAAAGAACAGCTCGCTCAAATATACATGTCAGACATCTGGTCATCTGCATGTGGGTCCAGCGATGCTCTCGTCTGGGTTATTAATATTGCAAGAGAAGAAACACATTTACACTGGCTTAAGTACAATTGGTAGGATATTGTATGGATCCAAAGAGAGCAGGACGGGAGGAAGGCAGTGGCTCTCTGTCTGTCCCACAGCGTCTTTAGTGCTCTTGTTGTGTTGGATCCATGCTCTTCCCTCTCTGCTACTTTGGTTTCCCTGGTTTATTCATCATGTCCCGTAATGGCCATCCAGGCCCAGCTGACAATTTGTTTATCCATTCAGGAAACCTTTATAGAGCATTTGCTCTATTTCAGGCCTGACTCAGGATATCATGCATGGGGAACAATGCAGAAAACAAGATAGACACAGTCCCTGCCCTCAGGTGGCTTACAGTCTCTCTTCAGTGTGCAGCTTCCCTCAGTGCCTCTTGGTTTGGAGACAAGGTAGAGGATCTGATTGGTCCTGTCTCACAAGCCACAGGCATTGACCAGATGACCTAAGAGCTACCCTTGGGGAGAAAGTCCACTGATTGGTCCTGTCTCACAAGCCACAGGCACTGACCAGATGACCTAAGAGCTACCCTTGGGGAGAAAGTCCACTCCGAAAGACTGAGGGTGGATTTCTATCACACAAAACAGGGTTGGTGAGGCCAGCAGGATCTATGGACACAGATTCCTTCAGAAGAAGGCATGGTGGAAACGGTACCTGGAATTGTCATTCATTTATTCACTTGGTCAGTCAATAAATATTTAGTGAGTGCCTGCTGTACTCTATCCTAGGCAATGGGGATTCAGCAGGGCACAGGTAGAAATTCTAGTTGTCACAGAGGTTAAATTCTAGTCCAACAAAAGGAAGATTCAGATTTCTCAGGATCTTCAAAATGAAAGCAGAAATACCAGCAGTGACTTCTCATGAATCTCCTGGTCCTGTCTGTATTGTAGTGTTTCTTTTTTGTCCATGAGGGCAGGTCGCAGACAGAGGTCTGGGTGGCTAAATCGTTCTGTAGCCTATTCTTTGAAAAACCAGCTTCCCCTTCTTCTTCTTTGGTTCCTCAGGGTTTCCTTCGCAGAACAGAAAGCATGGATTGCCCACTGAGGATGGGGGTCATTAGCAGATGTAAATCTCTTCTCCCAATGACCCAGGCTTAGTGGAGTCAATACATCTAAAATATTAAGCTGGATGAATCGGGGGAAGAAAGGAGACTGATGTCTTTATTCCACATCACAGAGCTTTGGAGCATCTTTCTAAGGCCCCTCTTTTAGGCACCAAGTACTTTACCAACACGTGGCCCTTGTTTCAGCTTTTACATCTCACTGTGTTTGAGGCGTGATTAGCATTTGTTAGAAAAGAGGGCTTTTGGCTCTTTCTACCCCAAAGGCTTTTCATCTAAAGCCTGAGCTGCTCTCCCACAGTGGATTTTAAACACCACCCAGATAGTTCATAGAAAGCTTCCAGCCCCGCTTGCTCTTTCCCTCCCACAATAAGGGGGAGAGTGGGTGGTGGGTTACCGCGTTTAGCTGAAGCGGGATGGGGCGGGACTGGGGGGGTCAGTGGCGGGATGGGGGAAGGAGGTTAAAAGGAGGCAGGATCCCCAGATGAAGGAGGAACAACATCTCTGCGATCCCTACGTTGGGGAGACTGTGGTATAAAGAGTAGGAACATGGATTTTAGGATCAGACCGACCAGGTTTCAATCCTGGCTCTGCTGTTTACTAGCTGAGTGACAGTGGACAGGCTGCTTAACCATTTCGTGCCTCCGTTTCCTCGTTTGTAAAATGAGGTGATGGTAATAACACCTCCTAGGGTCATTCGGAGCAGGTCACGAGACAGTGCAGGTGAGTTCCTTAGCACCTGCACGTACCAGGTAGTTAGTAAGTGGCAGCTGTGGATTTCGTTGTTGGCTTTATTCTCTCCCCACCACCGCCTCCCCACCGTGAAGCTGGCTTCCTCCCTCTCTTATCATCATGTCTCTTTCCCTGTCCCAGAGTCCAGCCATCCCTACCTGGCAGCACCGTCTACCTCCCGGACTCCTCTCACACCGCCTGCCTTAATGTCAGGTGCCTCGTGGGGCCTCGATCATAATTGGATATTCCCCTCTCTTCCCTGTTTTCTGGGTTGATGCATCCGACAGCACCGAGCCTTTGTGTGCCTCCCAGAGCCAGCTACTGCTCCATCTCATGGTGGCTGTGTCTTCCCTGGGCTGGTGGCCTGGGGTTGATTTGCATTGTTAATGTAAAACTGCTTGAGTGGCTCTGGGGCCCTGACGAATGCCCCCAACCTCACACCTGTCACCCGGTGCCCCCGAGACTCCACTTCAAGGGGATAAAAGAGATCCTAGTGATGACATCCTTGGTTGCGGAAAGCAGAGGCTCTGATCTAAATGGAGGTGGTAGCAATCCTACAGGGTACTCTTGTGCCCACTCTCGGCAATAGGGCAATAGGTGAGTTTCAAAAACTCTGCACAAATAATGAGTCACATTTGGGACGGGCGTGTCATTCAAGGGAAACAATGGCAATTTCAGAATCAAAGAGGATGAAGTGTAAAACTAAAGATGCTGGAGTTCAACCATCTCATTTGATAGTTGAGAGCAAGGCTGGGAGATGGAAAGTATCACACGGGGTGTGAATAACAACCTGGACACTGGAAAGATACAAGTAGCAAACCACCCCGCTTTTATCTGGTTCACATAGATTTTCATATAGTGGGTTTATTTAAAGTGAGGGTCACCCGTAAAGCTTCCTCAGACCCACGTCTGATCCCCTCTACCTCTTTGCCTGGTCACCATCATTGCCTCAGGCTTCTTGATGTTTGACTTCCCAGCTCCCTCTGCGCAGCCCACAGATCTGAAATAAGAGGGCTGGACAAGACCTATCAGGTCACCTCCCCGCATGGCCGTCCCTTCCCTCCTGGCTCAAGTATCTTATCTCCATCTCTGCCTTTCTCGTGCAGCAGGCTCCCACAGCATCGCCCTCCTCTGTTCCTATAGATCCCTGTGTCTCCTACAGCGAACGTATTAGAGCTAAACTAAGTGCCACCCCCTCCCTTATCACCCAGACACCCTGAGGCACCATCCCCGGTGCTGCCAGAGCCAGTCTGAAGTTTAATTTACTGCAGAGCTAGAAGCAGGAGCCTCCCCGTCAGCCCCTCACCTCTGCCCTGGCTTGTCTCTATGAGGACAAGCGTGCTATCAGCTGTCCACACTGTTGCCCCTGGAAACCCAGAGGCTCACTGGTTCTCGGGCCCCATGAGGCTCCAGTGCCTGGAAATGGGCACAGAGAGTGAGGTTCCAGCCGCCCCTCCTGCACAGGATCCCGAGCTTCTCGAGGGCTCTGTGGGCACAACCTCCGCTGATTCAGGGCTGCTTCTAGTGAGTAAAGGCTAACATCCCTCCATCAGCTCAATAGAATGACTCCAAGTCAGCATGAGGGAAAATGGTGAGAAGCCAGAGGAGAAAGTCATCGGAATCGTGATGAGTCATTCAACACGCATTCCCCGCCTCCCTTTCCCACCTCACGTAGGCATAACAGGGACGCAGAAATGCATTGAATTACAGTGGTTAGAAATGGCCTGGCCCAACCTCCTCATTTTACAGATGGGGAAACTGAGGCTCGCAGTCTTTCCCAGGAGGCGGCTAAGACCACACATCTGAAAAGTGACATAAATCTCAGTAGCTCTGCTGTGGGCTTGCCAGGGAGTGGCTCAGACAAGGGCAGAATGAGGTCAGAAATAGGTCATAGGTGTAGCTAGGCGGTCAGGTAAGGCCGCTGGGCCAGAGCTTGGAATGTTTGACAGGTGAGGGCATCCACGCAGAAGCCTTAATAGCATGCTTGAGGAAGGAAGAAAACCGGAATACCTTGGGG